GTTAATATAATGTAACATATTAAATAACTTACTTACCTATGTTATCAATTACATAAAGGGATAATACTCTTTATAGAAGTTCCTAGTCGTAGTTTCTTTATATGCCTTGACAACTATTTATAATACTACAGCCTGCAAATCACAGTTATAACTGTGTTTAAAAAAAGAATATACATATATTTTTTTATTATTATTTTTTTTTATAATTATACTATAGCATACAATTGCGCAAATTGCAGGTTATTGTTGCTATATTATAGTTGCACCTATTATATTTTTAGATGGGGTTTGAATATTTATATTATTATAAACCATGATAACAGATTACACTTTATTTGAATTATTGTATGTTGATTTTTTTTTGTATATGTATGCTAACTGTAGTCTGCAATATTTTTATTACGAGCACATGAAACATGTTTAGGTACATATACAAATTACATAATAAATAATCGGGTTGTCTTTTTTTTTTAGTATACAATCACAATGTAACACCAAGGTTAAAGAATTAAAACAATTTTTTTTTAATTTATTAAAAGAGCTCGTTTTATTCTACAATATTTTATAGTTATCAGTTTTTAAAAACAATATCATTTATACATTTTTGTGAATACATTTGATAAATAGATTTTTAAATTGTGCAATGCCTGGTGCAAGGTATCAGGTGGAATAGTATTGATTTTTTCAGCGAACCCTCTATTAAGATCGGAAATTGTTGTTGGGTGAGTGTTGTACACGACATTTATCAGATGTCACCATAAAAAATCACAGATGGATTGGTCTGGGGAAAGGGGTGGCCAATCAATGTCAGCATTCCTGGTTAAAGCGCGGTTACTGCGAACATCCACCCGACTGTTGCCATCAACACTCAGTCAGAGCGCTAAGTTACTCTGTCCTCTTGAAACCAGGTGTTTTCAACGTCAATGTTCTGTAAAAATTGAAGTTTTTACCCCAAAAATGTTCTAGCATCGTCACATAACATCGTCGGGATGTAGATTTCACATCAGTACCAAATTCAAACTTATAACGACTTAAAACCGTTCATCATATATTGACAATAGGACAATGCAGCAGACGATGTTTAGAATTTTATTGTATCCAAGAACTAAAATGTCGTCATTCAACATACTTTTTTGATAAAAATAGACTTTATCTGAAGGCTAAAGATTCCGGATGAATCCTGAGTCCTCGTTAATTTTATCCATTAGCTATCGTTTACAGAATTAGAACGATTCCATTTGTGATAAGTTAATGTCCTTCTACGATGAGTAAATTTCCATTCCCCTACTCTAAGTTAACATAGGTCAACTCAAACTTTTCACTATAGATACTAGGTACCCAACTGTTTGACCAATATTAGATTCAAATTTCCTGTTTCTTTGGTCAACCCTAAAAACTTATATATTATTGGTAAATTAAATTATAAAAATATATGTGTATACCAAAAGTATTACATTTATATGTACATATTGATATATTTATAAAAATGTCCAATATATTCTAAACAAGCCAAACACATACGTCATTTTTGAAAATATATTAAAATTATTGAGACATATGCAGCTCGATATGAATCACAATAATCACTTGATTATTTAGTAAAAATTTATTTTTTATTTTTAACATTTTAATCACCTTGATAATATATTAATATTAAAGTACTAACATACCAACATATAATCATAGCTGAACATATAAATTTTCAAAAATTGCTGAGTATATTAATTCAAAAATTCAGCTTTCTTTGTGTTTGTCGAATCAGCAGAGTATGATTAATGGGATAGTCCACGTCATTTAATATCTCCCCTTTATTTTAACAGAGTTTATAATATAGATGTATAAATATTTTATACTTGATGCCTATTGAAAATTATTTTAAAACGTTAACTATGTTCTAACACCCTTATTCGTTCACTCCATTCTGTCTCATTCCCTTTTCCCAACCTGTACCTGACTCATTAAACACTTCACGCTGTCCACCGGATGATTTATGTATATTCTGGATTTTTATGTTTGTCCACAATGTATTACAATATAATGCTTATAAAAAAAATACATATATATTTTGAGGTGACTTGATTTGTTACCATTTACAAAGATTAATATTAGACTTAAAAAAATTTATATATTTAAGCTTTAAAGTGAATCTGTTTTTTGAATAGGTACTTAAAACACGGCGATTCAGCATTAATATTGTATGAAATAAATATATAATGGAACATAATATTTCATAATAATATCATAAATAAAATATTCCATGAATCATCTGTCAACACTCATAGTCAGACATAAATATTGAACATTTTAAATCTTTCCAATTAATTTAAGTTTATAATAATAGACTGGTAACAATTTAAAATGTTTCATTTCTAAATAATGAATAAAAACAATTGGAGTGATTTATTGAATTCCACATTTTTCTATTATTGTCTTTATTCAAAACTTCATGAGCTATCGCTGCTTTTATAACTTGACACTTTAATCGTTCGAAAAATGACTATCAAACCATATTTAAACGATAAATCATTAACGAAACAATTAGTTATGATTTGAATGGAATAACCGGGGAAATGAAATTGGATATCGTTAAAGTTGTTATACTGTGCGAGTTCGTACGCAGACAGAGAATTGAGAAAGTAATTGATCATATTGTTTTGCAGATTGAGATGGTATATCCGTGTGGACCGACAGTTGTTACCCAATATTGTCTTAGCTTCTGCGATTGATTTTTACAATGAAATATCCACCGACCATTAGCGCTCCGAAGAAATGTCCACCAGAAAGTTTTGAGAGTGAGTTTGAAAGTTTTTATGAAACAAGTAATTGGCGATAAAATATATATTAATTTGAATATACCTACGTATAGTTATACCATCCAAAAATTTAAACCATCATAACGCCTAAAAATTAGGTAACTGATTATCGCTTCGTCACTTCATTGTAAGCTGTATAGTGATTTAACAATAATCGTGAATGATTTTCTTGAGATTAAATGTATCAATTAAATATCAAATAAGTATACCTTTTCAATAATTTTTAAGTATCTACTAAGACTCACTTTATCTTTTTATTTAATATTTAATATCATAAAATTCTTAACGTGTTTGAAAAGTGTAGGTACTATAATATACTTTACTTCATAATGGTTGTTGATTTATTTATAAGTTACATTCTTATAGGGTGTTACCACTGTATATTCTCCCTAATCACACGAATCATGTTATCAGTTTTATTTTTACTTGTAATCTATCAAACCTACTTATTATACAAAGAATATGTATAGATTGTAAATTTATTCGATAAAATAAAAAATAAAGTTACATTCTTAATAAAAAATAAATAAATATTTAACTTCAAAATAAACCCAACATATGGCCCAAATACGTCATTTAATGTAATACGTTTTCATATTCTCTGATTGTATTTAAATCTGTAAAAAAAAATAATCATTGTAAATTTATACTGCAAAATGTAAATTAACCAAATATGTATTCAATTGATAGTATAACAATCGCTATCATTGAATTTTATATTAAATACTCTAACATTAATATACCTTTTCATTCTTTTAAATTATTGTGTTATTTACGCAAATAAAAAAACTTGATTAAAAGTTTTAGTTTTAACAAATTAAAATTGTTCACAAATTGTTAAAGTACCTATTGAACATTCAATCAAATATTTGATTTGAAAGTAATTATTCAAAACCTGTAATAAACGCATCTATGGGATACAAATTAAGTATTTTTACACTTTTATATAATTTTTTTCACGTTGGTGAACAAGACTTTTAATCATAAAATATTTTATAAATTAATGAAACAATATTTTTCAATCCCTAGTCTATTTATAAATAAAACGGTAAACAGAGAAATTGAAACTTTTTTAATATAACTAAACACAACCACAGAATAACTCTGAACTAAAAATTCAATAAATAAATATCTTTTTGATTATTGAATTGTGTATAATTTATTCTTAATAACGTTATTTTTTTAAATTAAAAAATCTTATGATTAATTTCTGTTTGACGGTTGACGGAGAAAAATGTTTTTGTGATGTCTGCGAGATAAAAAATAAATGAGTTTTCTATCTGCGGCTAAAGCTAAACCCGACAATTTCGCTGTCTACGTGACCTGGATAAGATGTTGCATTGTKCTAGCTTGCGTATTATTGTAGTACATGTATTATGTATATACGTAAATATATATATTTTTTTCGTATTTTATATATATAAATTTAGTTCGCCTTCTTTTGGAGAAAGACCGGCAGGAGACATGAAATAATCAGACCCTGGAAAAGTTCCATAAATCAACGCCAACTGGCCCCGGTAGTTGTCATCAATTACTCAACATAGAGGAAACAGCACTGTAACACTTTTTTATCATTAACAGTAAAGCGAAAAAATACGCGTTACTAAAATACATATATATATATATAGAATATCCGTTTGACGTATAACCCCGTCTCCTATGCTCTCCTGTTGCTTCTTTTAAATTTGATAATTATATAGGAACGAAATATTATAAAAAAAAATTAAAATACTAACAATAATTATTTTCCACATTTTATCTATTTAAATTCATATTTACACGTCGGGTCTATAATAATTAATAATAATGTAGTCGTACAAAATGTCAGTTACAATAATACATCATAAAATTATAATTAAATATTTAAGACAGTGTAGTTTAATAGCAATCAAATACATTAAAATAATATTATGTATTGAACTTAGCAGCGTAGCATTAATACTCGATATAGGACAAAATATGATTTCAAATTATGAACATATTATTCACAATTACAAAAAATGTATCAATATAATATTACATTTACTTTTTTACGCCATTTTACAACAACTTACAGGAATACACTGCAAAATAAATCATTACAAATACAAATACAATTATATTGTTTACATTTTACCAAACGATATCCAATCAATAGGTATATATTAAGTGTTATAGCGTAAATTGAAATTAATATTTATTATTTATAGCGATAGCATTACTGAGTTTTATTTATAGTTATAGTTACATAATTAGTGACTAATTTTTAAATAATACATTTTTGCTACGCTGCGCCATTTTGGCCTTGGTCTCAAACATTGAAAACATCACAAAAATATATATAATTATAATACAAGTTTAAATTTAGTTTATTCTTCAGACTTATTTCACCACCTTTCAATGTGGTTTAAGCTTTCCAGGCTCTTAATTTCAATACTTTGGTAATCTACATCTGCTGTATTTTGCCTCCAATGCAACCTCTTTAGTGCGTCACCCTTCATTCCAATCCAGACAGTACCACATCCTAAAATTACCAACGACAACACAATACACACAAAAACTATCATACCTGGATGAGTCGTATTCGCTACAACCTGCGCATTTTTTGGATCGTCTTTCGCTCTTAGTCGTGCAAATACTGCCGTCTGTTCTGTTGTAGTCGTAGTGACCCGATAAGTCGGAGTCGTAGTAATCGCGGTGCAGTATTCTGAATCGAACACCTGTTGAACACTGCCGTTATCTTGTCTACATTGCACACTTTCCACAGTGGACTTGAGTTTTAGCGGTTGGTAGTTCCTGAGTCTCAATTCAGTTTTACTCAACTTATAATGATGATCTTCGGTTGCGTGAATCTCACACAACCAGTCTCTGAGCCACGATTTAATGCACTTTAGTTCGTTCAATATTAACGTTTTAATTTTGGGCATGTGATAAGGTAAACGGTTAGGAAGTGAAATCACATCGCATTCCGTTAAGTCTAAATACTCAAGTTGAAACAAAGATGACAGTACAGCACTGTCGTTTAACAGGATCGCAGCTAGATGTTTGCTGTACGCCAGTTGGATTCGATTCAAGTAACGTGTATCAGTGAATGGGAACGTTGGTGTTTCTGATGCCATTAGACCCTCCAACTTCAATATTTTTAATCTTACTGGACCTGTTAACATTTCTCTAGTGATCATTTTAATTGGATTTTCAGATAAATCTAAAACATCAAGAAATAATAAAGATGCAAATGTAAGATCTTGTATGTGTCGAATATTATTTCTCCGAACATTTAATATTTTCAGTCGTTTGCAACCCTCAAAGTCTTCGACACTTAAGTTCTGTATTCTATTACCTTCTAGATTTAATTTTTCTAAGCTTCCTGGAAGGCTTTTTGGTACCGTTTCTAATAAATTATTACTCAAGTCCAATATGATCAGTAAATCAAGCCGACCAAATGCGTCATCTTCAACCATGGTAATACGATTAGCACTAATATTAAACAAATGGAGAAGAGGAAAACCATCTAGGTCGCCACTGTTTACTGATTTTATAGCATTCCCACTTAAAATGAGTGAACCTAACAGTGGAGCTGGCGTGACTGGAATTTCTGTAAGATTAGTGTACGAAGCATCCAATGCTTGGAGTCTTGGACCTGACCCCAAAACAACAGGTGCTAATTTTGCGTTTTTTGCAATCTTCAATTCAACTAGATTCTCAAATGGCTGAAATACAGATGTACGATCGAGATCATAGTTTTCAGAAACGTCGAGATATCGTAATGTAGTACTAGGTAACATTTTTTCTGATATTCTAGTTAACGTGTTACCTCGTAAGTCTAACCATTGTAGATCTGGCATTCCAATAAATGTATTATTTTCAATCCATAAGATAAAATTATTCCCAAGATCCAAAACTTCCAAAGAAGACGCATTAACCATATCGGTTTTATTCAATGACTTAATGTAATTCCAACTCAATGTTAGATTTCTAATGTCTGAACACATTGAGAAATTGTGTACCTTATTGAACGATAATATCATAGAATCAACTCTCACTATATTGCTAATGGAAACGTGGCAAGGATTTAGAATATTATTTCTAGATAAGTCAATCGTAGGTAACGTTAAGTTTTTATCGCTAGTGACATAAATCCCGTTTAAATTATTTTGAGATATATCCAGTTTAGTCATACCGTTAGTGTGAGTTAAGTCAACTTTGTATGGTATGGCGTCACAGTAAACATCGCGCGAGCCGTTTGTAGGCAACTCCAAAACGCATTCTTTTTGGATTTCTGCAACGACGACTGATAGCAAAGAAACTACGATAGCGTTTATAATCACTACCATTGTTCGACCGAAATCACGGCTTCACAGCCGCCATGCTAAGTATTTGAATTTTTTTGATATTCCTGCACAACCTTTGATCGAATTTTTTTCATTCTGTGTATCTGTAAATATAAAATAAATACTTTTAATTAACAAGAATAACTCCATTCTATTACCATTCTATTAAAATTGTCATGTACAATTTTGAAGAATAAATAAATATTATGTGTATTATGCATATGTTATATTAATATAAATCTGTTCCTTAAGCTATGTATTATGCCAATCATATTATATTATATAAACTATAAGTATGAATATGACATATCTCTATTTTTATTTTTCAAAATAATTTCTCCCCTTCAATACCTTTAACGTAATTTTCACTCTCAGTATGGGGTCAATCTGATTTTACCCTTTTGTTTTCGACGGTTACGTTACCAACTCATATATATATATATATATACTTGTATTTATCATGACTATAACAATGGTCAAAATAATAAACCCACATCACGACATGAATTTCATTTAATTTTTATTTAACGAAGTCCTCCGTAAGCTCGGGCAAAATCATTGAAACCTAACGGTTTCTTCTATTGTTCTGCGTCCACGTCATCATCATCATAATAATAAAGAGTTACATATATATCACAACAAAACATACAGTCAACCTAACTTTTATACCGGATGTATAACAATGCGTAATTATTCATTTTTATCACTGGGCTTCGCGTTATATTTAGCCACCCTTACAAGCTAGATAGTTTGTAATTTTGGTTAAGGGTAAGATTTTCAACTTTTATTTTTTTAAAGTATACAATTATCTTTATGTATATATATATATATATATATAAAGTATAAGTCAGCGGCAATGGTAATACTTTATGCGTGCATTTTTCATTAACTTTAAGCTTAAGCCAACCCTAATTTTATCGTTATAATAACATTTTAGCAAATATTTAAGCCTCGTTCGTTAAATATTATTATTAATTATAGCACCTATAGAGTTATTATTCTAGTACAGTTATAATAATAAATATACCTACAGGAACTATTTAATTCCAATTAAAAATCTATTAACACATCGTGGTTGAATTTTTTTGTAAACTCGCAGTACTATCTGCAAAAGATCGATCATGTGTAGGTGTATTATAATATTATTATAGTGGGTGTAGCTATATTTTTAACCCAGGCATTTTCCGGTCTTTTTAAAACTGTCTACGCTTAATTTAGTCTCGATTACGATCGCATTACGTTAATTGAATTATAATGTTATCTTAATGTATACAGTATGTGTCATGGCGTTTAGACGCAGGTTCCAAACTCCCCCTACTCAGATGGCGTATTAATATTCACGACATAATATTATTTTATCACAGCGTCCATGATGTCGCAAGAAACAGCGTCGGGTTGCACGAATGACGGATTGCCGGGGCAACTTTTCTTTCGCGTTTGAAAAGTTTTTGCATAACCGTCGCTTGAGGGGTGCCTAAGGTGACTGATGCGCATGTTTTGGTGAAAATGTAAATTCAAAGTTTCGGTTGGCTTTAAGTTACCGAAATACTTAAGTCCCTTCTTCCTGTCTACCCAACCTTCTAAAAATGTATAGATACGTACACTAGGTAGGTACATACTCGCACTAGTAATTTATGAATGTAGAAAGACTGAAAATTGCATGTCATACGACCCACATGTGTGTCAACGAATACGTATAAAAGGGTTAATTAAAACGAAGAATGATTTTTAACATGGCACATATCATATTATATACTATATAGATACTAATATTTTTCACCAACATTTGCTTTACATTTGATTTGTAAATATTTTCGTGTATATCATATATAGGTACCTTTATCGGAAATAAATATAATTATTGAGTAATCTATGGGTTTTTAAAAAATAATTTGCTTAATGAACATTAAACAGACATAATATTATGCTATTATATAATTTGTATGATATGTGCAATGCACATTGTGCATTGTACATTAAGTATTAAATTATAATTCGCAATACTCCTTCATAAACTGAGCGTTGAAAAACGTGTACGTAATTGCATAATAAAGTCAGTCTATTGTGGGCATCTATATCGCATAATGAATTCAACACATGAATACATACTTAATCATTTACGACTTAAGTTATTTCCTTTCATTTGTGCATATTATGGTAAAATCTCGTAACGTATCACTGTCCCTAGCTGGACCAACGACAATAATTGTTGTAAGAATTATTCTTAATTGCTGAAATAACTGTACTTCAAACGGACTGCAACTGCGATGACCAATATTTATTTAATTAAATAATGGATTACATTTTCAGAATAATATTTAGTTTATAGACATCATTATTTAAAATTTGACAAACATAAATTCAGCAATGTAAAATATTAGCTTGTAAGGTTTCTTGTTTATTCTACTCACTGTAATACAGTACATACCAAAAATAATATAGTATCATAGAACAATCAATCAATCAGTCTTACTACCATAAGTCATGACGAAATAAATACGTTATTATTATTATTGTCTGTCACTAGGTGTTATTTTAATTTTTATAACCATAATTTTCATTTGTATAGTCTACGTTTGATAAATGAAGTATATTTATTGATCGTTACAGGGTTATATTACAGCGTAAACACAAACCTTGTTCACAACAATACACGGCTCTTTGTTTTTACAATAGGTACTTTTAGTAAATTAATATTAAAAAAAAAATGTAATCGTATTACAAAAGTGTCGATATTTTAATGTTCAAACTTGTAAACGGCCGTTCATCAAACACTGTCTATTTTTAGTGAAATGAACGACACTTAGTTCTATTGTATTATTATCTACATCTTTTTAATTCTTTTTAGTCTTTTTACCCTATTCGGTGATACTTAAGTCCATAATATATGGCATAGATATATATGCATATAAAAATGCGATTAAACCAGAATTCAATTTCGCGCCCGTCGGATGCAGACGCGCTTCCAATACATTTTTATCCCATCGGTAACGCCACGCGGATATATATTCCTGTGCATTGCGTCAAGCTTAGTTTATAAGCCCTCGGATCGAGCGAGTTAGTACAAGAGAATAAGATGAAAATCAAGTAGGGGGAAATAAAGAACAATTTCCCACCTAGAATTGAGAAATGAATTTCGTATGCAAACTGGGTAAAGGCAAATAGGAAGCGCGACTTGGTTCGGGAATCGGAAAGACTCTTGTTTGGAAGAGACATGGTGCGAGGGAAGAACGCATCTAGACCAAGACAAATAAAAAAAGAGAGAAAAAGTCGTGTCCCTCTCATGGGAATGCAAAGCTTTGTTGTGCAAAGGAGAAAAAATATACAAGGCGAAGGTATTACAAATCTGGTTATAAAGTTGGCCGAGCACGAAAATAATCTAATCAAGCATAAGTCTGATTTTACAAGAAGGACTGTACATAATAATACATCATTCAAAAACAACAAAAACCATTTTAATATAATTTATTATAAATGAGTAACTCTTAATTAATTTCTCGATATAAATTTTAAATTCTTTTTTTCATTTCCGGTGACCAAAACTTCGATGAGTAAGTTATATTTAATCAGTTTTAAACGATCACATTTTATTTCACTCTTTCCGTAACGATATTTTTAAATATACTTTTCATCTTATTATATAGGTTTATAATAATATATTATATATTAAAATTCGATGACAATATATATAACGTATAATGCTATCCATATATTCATAATAAACATATTTAATCATATCATACGGTGTATTATAATGTTTATAAGAAGCTGTGAGGGAGAGATACATTAATGATATTATTATAATGTTATGGTTTGGGAAGCAAACTAACGTCGGCCAATGCTAATTTTTAGTCGCGATTTATTACCACAAGGAAGTTTTGTCTTAATTGGTTTTTACTGCTCCACAAAATGTTCACTAGACCAAAAAGTTACACCACTCATTCAGCGACCATGGTCCCTCGGTAATTATTCAAACGATGAAAATATGAATAACTTTATTACCAAAATTCACTCACGGTAAAAGTTTCCACAGTTATTTCAACAACGTTTTCCGATGTTTTCGGCAAACAACTATATATGTACATTGTACAGTCAGTGTTTAGTACCCTTTTTTAAGTTGATCCGAGATTTATGATGTCCGAATAAAAACCCATAATTTAATTTTATACTCAAAATCCTTGAATTGGGTTGTTGGGGTTAATAATTAAAATTCCTGTTAGATAATCTTAGACTTCTAGATTTGGTTTCAAAATCATTCACCATTTGTTACAATTGACGATTTGGGTCGAAAGGAGGCCACATTACCACATTCATTGTGCCACTATTCGCATCTCTGTCGTTTATTTATAGTGGCCAAAGATACTTTGGATTAACATTGGAAAGATCTAACAGCCGTTATACCATTGCCTCTGGATATTTACGGTCGTCGTTTGCTATCAAGCGTTTCAATGTTTTATCACAAAATGTAAAATATATCTATTGAAAACTTCAAAGTCGATTTATTCCAGAGATAACTTTAAAAGTGGTGCGCGATATGAAGTTAATTATTTAGAACTACCAGCGGGTGTTGAATTAAAAGTGCAAAGTACAAAAACAAAATTAAATATATAGTATCATCACATTTATGGTAGCTTAAATACATTGAATAATATTACCTATTCGTATAATTGTATTTATTGTCAAATACCTAACTATGATAATCAACAACAACCAACAATAATGATAACTCATATAAAAAACACAATATAACTCATATTAATATATCATATCTATAAATAAATTATCATTGAACATTATAATTAATTTCATAATAATTTATAAATTATTAAAAATTAATTATTTTTTCTCAAAAATTTAATCAATTCCTTTTTATGTTAAACTATTTATCTGTAGTATTTTGTATAGCCTATTAAATAACTCAAATATTCAGGGCCGGATTGGTTATGCGAGCTACCGAGAAAATCTCGGTGAGCTGCTCAAAAGAAATTTTGATCGGAAGTGTTTGGGCAATTATTTCATAATACAAATTTGAATACATTTATATAACTCTGTGTGCTACGTCAAATCTAGATCAATTTATACATTTTTGTTTGAAAAGGCCCCTTTTAGGGCTGGTTACAAAACTAAAACTCGGTGGGCCGATACCTTGTCTATCCGGCACTGCAAATATTTTTTAAAAACCAATGTCAAAAAGTTATTTTATATATTTTATATGAAAACTCTGTAAAATAAAATTTTTGAATATTTTTTTTTTTATTTATATAATTCACTTATTTATAAATGTTCAGTATGGAGTACATTTGTTTGTCTTTCAAATTAATAATTTATTTCAAATTAATTATACTTTACACAATAAATGATGGTATGTAATTGGTATAAAAAATCAATTTACTATTCAAGAAATAAGTTAATGATAAAAAATAAATAATAATTTTCATTATAAAATGTTTAATACAGACTATGATAATTATTAACTGAGAGTAACTGCTCTTATATTTAGTTAAATTTATTGAGGAAATAATTGATTAAAATTTCAATTTAATCAATTAATATTATTTTTTATAAAAAATTAAATATAAATGAATAATATTATGTGCCTATATATACACCATTTTAATTATTTTATTATTCCTATAATATTTTTAAGATTTCAAAAACTACAAATTCATTTCGACGGACTCCTAAAATAACTGAGCTGATAGAGCAGCCAGGCTTTTGGGACCCCTGACCATATGATTATGTATTTTTATGTTTCAAATGTAATCAACATTTAAATTCAAGTTGTTTAACTCCCTGTGTTATTCACATTGTAAATATGTATAACCAATCATCAATTATACCCAGTTATTATGGTATTATGATACGTATTTGACTAAAGTTTCTCTACTTTGAATAACTTATTATACATCTATGACTATACGAATATATTTTCATCGTAAGCTAGATAGTTTCAAGATATTTTTTTCCAAAATAATAAACAATAACAATCACCATTGATATGATAATCGGTATATTTTTTTTATACATAATGATAATATCCATAATAACCATCATCCTACCACTTTTATTTTATTTAATTATCGGCAACATTACATTACTGGTTTTTAATACATTCGATTCTTATATAGATTCACGGCACAGTCGTATCGCGCCAGCAGAACTATTCTATTATTATTACTGTTATTATTATTATTACCATCATGATAAAGTTCTTACCTTTTCGGTGGTGCGACATTAACGGCGCACCGAAAAGTGTCCGATGACCGTTGACGTTTTTCTCGAGGCGTCATGCTCTGATGACTCGTGCCCCTATTGTTTCGGCGGTCGTCTGGAGTGTTCGACAAACGTCGGCGGGCGAGGAGTCGTAAAACACGTCGACCGGGTGGTAAGTGTGCTTGGGGTAGCTCGCACGAGAACGTGGTCCGGAGTCGACTGATCCGAAATAATATCCTACGGGCACAGCCAGCGTTCGTCCCCGACACGGAATACCATGATAAAATATATATATATTATGTGTGTGTGTGTAACGCGGTTCCATTCGCTGCCACTGGGCGCGCACCGCGTAGCCGTTAGTTTACCCCGCAGCAGCGGTGATGGTTCCCCAAAGTATATAATATTATATGCGAGCGTGCGAGCGTGGTGTGTGTGTGTGTGAGAGAGAGAGTATAGTAGATTTCGTATAATTGTCTGTGGCAACAATCGGATTACTGTCGAAATAAGAAACGTTTTAAAAAAATTAATGCACTTGTGTGGGTACACACTACGTCCCGTGTTTGGGATTTGTGTAATCTGCATCTATACTGCTCTCTAAATAATTATTCACGAATATGTACGTTTTTATTAAATAATTATTTATATAGACGTATTATAGTTCGAACAACGTACTGTTATAATAACCTGTCATCATTTTGGCGATGTTTTACTTTTTTTAAACAGTATCATTAATACAATAAAATAAATACTCTGCGGCTCTATAATGTGAAACTAAATGTATTATAATATTTATATATATATATATATATATATATATATATTATTAAATGCACAATCTGTACTTTGTAGCACAATCAGTAAATATGAAACAAGAATAGGCATATTATAAGGTTAATACCAATAAATTATTAACATTTCGACATAAATGAAAACTTGAAAATAATTGATAAAAATGAAAGTTTGTGGATATTTATTAGTTTATTACTGTTATAAATTAATTCAGCTGTATAAAGCCTTTTCCAAAATCATCTATAGATTTATCGATACTATAACATTAAATTAGCTATACATAATAAATATATAGTTTTCAGGATCTCAATTTAACTATTGTGCTTGGGTACGTATTTTTGTTTTATTTAAAACCAAATTTGGTTTTTTTGTAGTTGGATTAGCAATAATATTCTATAGTATTATGAATAAATGCTGGAAATGTGTAAGCACAACATTTTCTAAAACAATACACAATAGAATACGTGGACACTCAATAAATTTAATTAAAATCAATCACTTTACGACCCCGCAATATCAACTGTATAACGTATTAACTACACAATATTTAATATCCAAAGTGGAAACTTATATTACTGGCACGTTTAAATCCACATTTAACATTTAATGCATTAAAATATTCGTATAAATACTATGCATATGCGTATACACCTAACTATGTTTTTTTTTTAAATATTATTATTATTATGACGTGTGCTCCGGAAAATTAAATATCCTAACACCGCCCAGTGTATAAATATTATTTTTTTATTCGCACCCTTCTTGATTTCTACCGCTTTAAAATAATATAATATAAAAATATATAGGTAGATATGTATATATATTATATTACGCATATAAATATACATGTCCCGTAAACAATATTACGCTTGATAATGGAATCTCCGTGTACTCACCAATCACGATGATGGTTGACGGTGGAAGAGATATATGTGCATTTTTGTGTGTTTAATATTATATTTCATCGCTGAATCGTTAACGAGATATATGCGTATTTGAGTACCTATATATGACATATGTACGCCAGATAAATAAATGATTATTTGTAGGTACAACTGATAAAACTTTTGAAAAACGAAAAAATATTCTTTTTTCCGTGATAACCTAAAAGATATCGAAATAATAATAATAATAATAATGTTCATACCATATAATAATATGTATAATGTATATGTGTACCTATATATGTATGTACATTACATCGGTGGCGGGGCGTCAATCTCTCGGGATAAGCAAAAAGTCCATAAACTTTTTTTTGCCAAAAGATACTTTTTCGGGACTTTGCAAGAGAGAATTATTTTAAACATTGGTTTAACATAATAATATTATACGCGTACGGCGGAAGAGTGCAGTAATATATTTTAAAATTTTAACTTCGTTGCTAGATTTCTACATGTAACTATAATACAGTATTATTAATACTGTATGATATATTATAACCGTTTAATTTTATTGAATACGTGTAGATATAATCACCTACATAATAATCGGGATTGCATGGTTTTTTTAGTTAAGAAAAATTCTATATTTTCAGTGGGCCATATTAGTGGATTATGATAAATATAAGGTTGCTGCAAATAGTTACGTATAATAACATTTTATACTTTATTATTTATAAGCATTGTATACGAACAAGTATTTTGCGCACACGGTGTAATGGTGTGTGTAGATCATTTGAGTGGGTGTGTTAAGATTCAGAAACGACTAGTCATGGTATTCAAAAAATAATTTAAACGAAACACACTTCAAAAATAAATTCACATTTAATACAATCGTAGTACGAACAAACACAAATATTATGTACATATTTATACATTGTATGGAAAAAAATAATACTGTCAGACGACTTTTCACGATTTTTTTGAGCAAATTCGAACACTAAGACAAAAAATTTTAGAACTATTTTAAGGTTGTAAAACAGCAATAGTTGTTGTACCTAGTGGCAAGTTGAAAAAGCTATAGTTTTTATACACATGATTGAGTCGTTATGCGATAAAAATGATGATGATATTTTAAAGATATTCAACTAATAAAACTGATGAGCATCATTATGCAAAGTTCGAGCTTTTCTTCTCGGTTTTTCATTGCACCGAAGACATAATATAATATATACATATACACATACTATTATAATGGGTCATGGAATTTCTAGTCCATTAAACACGTGCTTCCACGTGGACGCCCTCGCCATTACGTTTTCGCTCACAATAATAATTTCTGAGTATTACTAATAATAATAATGGTCATTACTATTGAATATAATAATTATTATTATTATTATGCAATACAATAATTTACAAATAATCGTAATTAAACACCAATTTGAGTATATTTGGTTTAAGGACGTCCGACACATTTTGACGTTTATAATGGCGCACTTTGTCTGGTTCAGCAGCTTTATACGTAGTGCTGTACAGTCAAATTTGGTTTATATATATTGTATATATAATGTCCATATAATTATATAGGTTAACATATTCGCCAAGCCAGACGACATATTTATGACGTGCTTTACTATACAGTGCTAAGGGTATTTAGTTCATATATCCTTTTCACCGACAGAATACATGTGAAACTAAATTAATAATCTGCATAGTAGGTAATAAATTCTTTTTGGGTACATTAATTTCTCATTTTTTTACGTCTTCCCCGTAAAAATATAATTTTGTCACCACGTGTTTTTTTGCAATATTAATGTATGAATTCGTGTAATATTTAGTTTGAAATTGAAATTGATTTTGTTTTAATTGATTCCTAACAGATATTGTTTTTTATTTTATGTGCTCATTGGGTGAAATAATATTTAATAAATATTGTAATGTGTTATCAATAGCTAAGGGTAGTATAACGCAATCTTTTGTACACTGTACAGTTATGTTATAATCCACCATTTCGGGTTATGTCTATTATCTTACAATATTTTTAAAATTTTCTTGTATTAATAGCTTGTAGAGTTTATTAGTGTGACAATATTACATTATATAACTTGGGTATGATATTGATTAATGGATTAACAGGTCTTGTTGATGTATATTTATATTTATTCTCTAATTCTATATATAACTGAAAATCCTATAAGAGTTTTATTTGAAGGTGAAATATCTAAGGATATTCTTGTGAAAGCTTTATTTATCGTGTCCTTGTGTTGAATTTTATCACGTTATAGACGTTTCATATTTTCAGTAACTTCACATTCTCTAGTATTATGTCAAAAATAATCCCGATTTTACATATAACAAAGGTAAAATTTGAAGGGAGACTAAAGGTGGTGTGCACCCCATTTTTGAAATTAGTACTGTCATAATTAATGTCATTTGTAGAGTGACTGTAAAATAAAGAGGATTCGATACTATTACTTTTTTCATTACAATTACGCCACTGGTTAGTACCTTTTAAATAAATTAAAAAATTAAAATACAATTTTAAGTTATAATGATGAATAAAAAATGTCAAAGTATTGATTATCAATTATTAAAATATTATATCAATTATTTATAATTTATAAAATATTGAAATCAAATATTGTATGTGTGTAGGTATAGTCTGTTGTAGTTATTATTAAATGGTGGAAATAACTAAAAATTATATTTTAATAAATAGAATGTAAGTTATGATATCAATTGTAATTCCATCATTTCAATTATATTTAATATTATCCCTAATTAATCCTCATAATATTTATTTCATTCATAATAAAAAAAGATTAAATTTCAATTTACACATAAATTCACTTTTAAATATATAGTAGTACAAAACTTTTGTAGTTTTAATTTTTATTCTACCTAGCATATATATTATATCTACGTATAGTAATATCGTAACTGATATTGATTTTAAAAACCATTTCATTAAATTTTATAAATAGCCTTAAAGTCCATAAATATTATCATATACTTATATTCTAAATATTCTATAACATATATCTATATTTCAAAAAAATAAATCAAGTGAATTTTTAAAATTGTTAGAATAAATTATTAAATATTAAAATATGTACCTACCTACTACCTATCTTATTCTACTTGACTATCACAGTAATCACTATACTTTATCTGACTGACTCTACTTGACACATATATAGTCAATTATTCGTTTTACTGGCTTTACTATATGTATATGTATACTTAACTGTCATTCGTATTTCATAGTCAAGTTGACTGAATTTTAAAAAATATGGATAAAAATGTTTTGTGTGTTTAAAATATACGTTTATGATTAAGGATGTATGTTGTACACTTACAATGGAATATAATATAATATATATAAAAGAACCTATGTGAAACACAATTTCTACAAATATATAAAGATCATAGATTAAAAAAAGAGAGCAAAGTTTTTTTTTTTTTTTTGACAGAACCTCCCTGAGGACGAATTAAATGGAAGAAAAACGATTTTGATATCACAGAGACGTTCATTTAAAATGTAAACTAGTACAAAATAAAATCT